TTTCCTGTTGCAATTTACAGCATCTCCTTAGTTCTAGTTTTCTTTTAGATTCATACAGCATGGAAACAGAGCCTTCAGTCCAGCCAGTCCACATTTTATTTCTGTATGGCATGTGAGTGGTGGAGATAAGATCAGCATCCCCTCGAGAAGAGGCCTAGTAAGTTACCTTCTTGGACCACCGCAGTTCGTCTGGTATAGCTGCATCCTCGGGACTTAGAAAGTGCTTTGAGCTTTTCAGAAGGTAGCAAAAACAAAAATTCGACTCAGCAACAGAAGTAGGCAATTTGGCCCCTATCAAGATAACATTCTTTGCTGACTTAAAAATTACTGTCTTTGTCTAAGTCTTAAATAGGTGACCCCTTATTTTTAAGCAAAGACCTCTGCTTCTGGATTCTCCAATTGGTCATTGCTGATTAGCTGGCGTTCTGTGTCGTTCAAACCACATAATAACCACGATAGATTTCCTCCCCAAAGGACATACAACAGTATAGCACAGGAACAGGTCCTTCAGACCACCATGTCTATGTCAACCATGATGCCATTCTAAGCCAATCCTATCTGCTTGCATACAGTCAGTCTCTCTCTATTCTCTGCCTGGTCTGAAATTAGACGACACCAGGTTATAGTCCCAAACCACATCATATAGTGGAGGTGCCAGTGTTGGACTGGGGTGGACAAGGTCAGAAGTCAAATGACACCAGGTTACAGTCCAACAGGTTTATTTGAAATCACAAGCTTTTCGAGCATTGCCCCTTTGTCAAGTGACTATAACCTGGTGTCATCTGACTTCTGACCTTGTCCACCCCAGTCCAACACCGGCACCTCCACATCATGACATATTCCCTGCCTGTTCATGTCTCTATCTAAATGCCATTTAAATGTTGCTATCATTTCCGCCTCTACCACCTCAGCTGGCAGCGTGTTCCAGCCACCTACCTTCCTCTAAATAAAAAACTTGCCTCACACAACTCCTTTAAATTTCTCCACTCTCACCTGAAACCTGTGCACTATAGTATTTGACGTTTCCAAAGACTTCGGCAATCTACCCTATTCATGGCTCTCATGCCCATATCCCAGTAACAAATGGAAAAGACACCTTTGAAGCCTATGGGATTAAAGGGGATACAGAATTGGCTACAAGGTAGAAACCAGAGATCGTCTGTTTTCCCACTGGGGGCAGTGTTGATCCACATGGCTTTGGAACCATTGCCTTAACTGGGTGCACAACTTACAATGTTTATAGGTGACAGAAAATATGGCCATGCAGTAAAGAGCAAGGAAGTAACACACTGAGTGGGTACCACTTTGCCTGTGTCAGACGTTGATGGGTCCAATCTCCCATCCAGGATACAAAATTAAGGCCGATACTCCTAGAGCAGTACCAAAGGAGTGTTGCCTTAATAGAAGAGCTGTCTTTCAGATAAGATGTTAAACCAATGTCCTTTCACCCAACTCACATTGTAAGATCCTAAGGCTCTGTTTCAAAAGGGGTTGCTCCACTCTCCTGGGATTCCCAACTCTATTAAGACAGTGAGTAGTACAGCAACCGTCAAATATAGCAGCAAATCATCAGTGTTCCAATCGGTGCTCATGAGTTGGTCCCAGTCAAGGCATCACATTTGGGCTCAGCATCCTAGGGCTACAGATGGAGGCCAATGGGTGTTCACAATCACTATAAGCCCTGTTCACTGCTCCAACAAGCAATGCAATAGTGCCTGCATGCTGAATTTTGGGTGAGGACAGAGTGACCACAAATTTGATGACTCCCTCTACCATATGGCTCCACAGGTTAAGAATGACACTGGTGCGTGTTTAGAAATATGGTTTTAGATCCAGTGCCTGAGGAGGTGGGTGCAGCAATGGTCAGCACCTTCAGGGGAGGATAATTGAACAAGCAAACAAACTAAGCAGCGAGTCAACACAGATACCTGGGTCACCAACTCTCAGGGATCATCCTGGATTCTGCAGGGATTAAAATTTTGTCCCACAGACACAGAAAAATGTCATTCCCTTTCATTCACTTTGAGTGCTTTAAAAAAAACTGGAAATGAGGGAAATTTGGAATGGGTGGAGATGTTTAATCACGGGAGATCATGTGATTAAAACCTTCTGGGGATAAGGTCGACCAGAATTGGCAACATTAGCTCCTGCACTGGTGAAAACCATCTCAGGTCACGTGGGAAATGACTCATGCCTGTGTCATTTAACTAAGACAATGTACACAAACACCAACAAAAGGAAACCTCCCAAACCACATCATATAGCGGAGGTGCTGATGTTGGGACTGGGGTGGACAAGGTCTTAAGTCAGGCAACACCAGGTTACAGTCCAACAGGTTTATTTGAAACTACAAGCTTTCAGAACGTTGTCAAAGAGCAGCGCTTTGAAAGCTCGCGATTTCAAATAAACCTGTTGGACTATAACCTGGTGTCGCCTGACATCTGACCACATCTTATAGCACATCAAGTGGTCAGAATGTTACAATCAGGAGTAAGCTGTGGGCAAAGGCAGTGGCACACAGAGTGAGGTCAGGATGGTGTGTGAGCAAAAAAAGTCTGTACCTCCAGGCAGACTGCATTTAAAGGATTAGCTGCAGCTTGAAGCAGCTCCACAAAGAATTAATTATTGCTGTCTTGTGCTAGTTCGATACTACACCCTGTGCCATAACATAGCAATTCATTTCCCTCTGTCTTTACTCACGTTCCTTTCCATCTTTTATTTACTTTATCTGCTGCTCTCTTCTCGATTGCAATGCTCCTGTCTGCCCCAGTTTATCTCTACCTGTCCTTGTGTCATCCTCCCTCTAATTTAAGAATCTGTCAATGTTTGTTCCTTTCAGTCTTTTCCTACTTTGTCAGTCTGCCTGTGTGAACTCTTTCTCAGTGTCCTTCCTTCTCTCTGCCTGAAGTTGGTGTGTTAACTCTGCTTTGTTTGTATCCTCTGGGATCACAAGGCTTTAGGGTCAACTCCCATCCTAAGAACCTGAGCCCAAATTTGTTGCTAATGGTCAACTGCAACAATGAGGGCCAAAGTGCAGTTTTTGGGTTGAGATGGGACACCATCTGCACTCTTGGGTGAACATAAATGCTCCCATTGTACTTCTATGAAGAAGTGGGTTAGTTTTCCCCAGTATCCAGGTCAATATTTATTCCTCCATTAACATCACTAAAAGCAATCTATCTGGTCATTTATCGTGTTGACATTTTTGGGAGCTTGCTGTGTACAAGTTGACTACCATGAATGAATTTCCATCATTACTACTGGGGTGATACTTCAAAAGTAGCTCATTATTTGTAAAGTGATTTGGGATCTCCCAATTTGTGCAAAGGTGCTATATAACGGCAGGTTCTTCATCACAGTTTCCATGCAGCTGATAGAAGCCTGATTGGGCTGTCAGGCAATGGAGACAGAGACTAACGCATTGATGTGCCTTTCCCAAATCCTGCACTGTTGTGATGAGGGAAGGGAGACACACCCACTGAAGTCCAGCAGGGCCCTTCCTTAAAAATGCAGCCTGCCATTTGAAACATTGGCTGGAAGTTTCCTTATCTGGAGAACCAGGCGATTAGAGGCCAAAAAACAGTTTTTAAACTTAGTGTCCTCTACCCTGTTGGGTCAGAAAGAAGGGGAAAGACCTGCATTTCCACAGAGCCTTTCAGAACCTTGGAACATTCTGAAGTGTCTTCCAATCAATGAAGCACTTTGGAAGTATCATTCTTGTTGTACAAAAGGGAACCTGGGAGCTGGGTTGTGCACAGAAAGATCCCACACACAGTAAGTATTAGGCAGGACACTGAGGGAGAACTCCCCTGCTCTTCCAAGTAGATAAATGTTATAGGGAAGCAGCTCACCTTCTCCAGGTCAGCTAGAAGTGGACAATAAATGCTGGCCGAGCCAGTGACACCAACATTGCATGAGTGAATGAAAAGAAACAAAATATTTTTGTGCACTTTGTTTATAGTTTAAGCCAGCTGTTAAGATAGAAACAAAGACATGTTTCTTTTGTTCCTTTATGCAGAGAGTTTATTGATTTACTCTTCTCCACACACACTCAGAGTCCTGCCTGTTTGCAATTTATAGATATTTTTAATCAACCTTTTCAGATGTGTTATGATATCTCTAGAGCTGGTGGGACTTGACACTGGCCTCCTTGCTCAAAAGGTATGCCACAAGAGCCCTCCCCTATTTATGTACACTCAAAGACAAGAGGTCCAAGCGCAGAAGGACAGTACAGTATAGGGACTGGCTCTTCGGCCCACTAGGACTTCACCAACACAATGTCTTCCTAAACTAAAACACTTTTGCCTCTAACCTATCCATTTCCCTCTATTGCCTGCTTATTCAAACATCCGTCAAGATGCCTCTTAAACACTTATTGCATCCACCACCTCTGGCAGTGCATTCCAGGCACTTACTACCTTCTGCAATATAAAACGTGCCTCACATCTCTTTTAAAATTCCCCCCTTTACCTTAAGGTTATGTCCCCTAGTAATTAGCATTTCTACTCTGGGAAAAAGATTGATTATCCGTTCTATCCATACCTCTCAATTTTGTAACCTACTACTGGTCACCTCACAGCCTCCAACATTCAAGTGAAAATATTCCAAGTTTATCCAATATTTCCCATAGCTAATACCCTCCAAACCAAGCAACATCCTGGTAAACTGTTTCCACATCCCCTCCAAAGGCTCCACATCCTTCCAGTGGCGAAGCAATGTAAGGAATATTCCAAAGTGGCCTAACGTTATTTCCAGCTGCAACATGTCTTGCCGCTTAATGCCAACAACCAATTTCTTTTAACTTCAACAAAGATATGAACAAAGTCAACAATGCAATTGACAACATTTAACACACTTTGGATGGGGCGGATAGTACGGCACCAACAACGACATCCTGGGGTATCTGGACTGAGACTGTACTTAGTGATGTGTAGTCCTATTTAGGGTTCATTCCCAGTACATCTACGTTTTGTCACATGAATCTCGATTTTATTATTCAGGTTTGAAGACCCATTGTTGGGATGCAACGTATATCGATCCATAACAGAAAATGAAGATTGACGTCCACACAGAAATCAGTGTACACTATTTAATGTACAATCGACAGCATTAACAGCTACTAAAGAACATGATCCAAAATACGCTCTCGACAATAAAATCTTTTTACGCATACATCTGGTTGCCATACTTTTTAAAAAACCCTTCAACCTTTGATTTCGGAAACTATCCATCGAAATCTCACACCATTCCCAGCAATATGAGAGAGGGCGTGTTCCTAAGGTGGGCTCAAATTGGCTGCCGGTGTGTGCACACGAGGCAAACGTGATCTGCAAAGCGTCTCTCGACGCGACGCCGCCGCCACCATCACTCACCCTCGGCTTCAACGACGCCCGTTAGCCACCGAGGCAAAGGTCAATCGCGAAGACCATCTCTGATGCTTAGGTCTCAAAATGGAGAACCGTTTACCTCAGCAATTAAAAGATTTCCTACGAGTTTCCCTCAGTCAGGGGCAGTGGGAGTACATTTAAACTGCCGACTGTCACGTGTTCCTAAACAACACATTTGCTTTATGGCAGCCATTTTGTCTGTCGTCCCAACCTGAGGGAATGTCCTTTAATTCGCCGATGGGGAGGGGCAGGGCATTCATCGACCAATCCTAAGATGGCTTCAACTGAATGACATAATAACCAGCCAATGATTGAAGACTAGCAACGGAGTGGTGGTCAAGGCCTCCGACAGACCAACCTCCTCAGTTAAATACCAACGCGAACGAATTCCTACGAAAAGCGCTAAATAAAAACCGAAAGAACTACGGATGCTTTAAATCAGAAACAAACGTAGAAATTGCTGGAAAAGCTCAGCAGGCTTGGCAGCATCTGTGGAAAGAAATCAGTTAACGTTTTGGGGTCGAATGACCTTTCCTCAGAAATAATTTGTAGCTAGGCAAAGGTTGGTATTTATGCTGAAGATGATGTGGAGGGAGTGGGAAGGAGGATGTGATAGTTGGAGACGGAGCCCAGAGAAAGAGCAGTTGGGCAGACAAAGGAACAACTAAAGGTCAGCCTGGAAGAATCAATTACTGCTGATGGAGACCCTTAATGGCTGATAATGGGCTGTGCATCTCAAATTCGTTGCTCGTGTGGCTAACTGAAGTGAATGTGATCTGTAGTTTACAAAGTGTCTCTTGACGCAATGCCTCCATCACTCACCTTTGGCTTCAATGATGCCTGGTAGCTACTGAGGCAAGGATCAACTGCGATTGCCATCTCTGTTGCTTAGGCCTGAAAATGGAGAACTGTTTAGCTCAGCAATCGAAAGATTTTCTAAGAGTTTCCCTCAGTCAGGGACAGTGGGAGTAAATTTAACATCGGCCCCACCCTTTGCAAGCCGAAATGGCAGGATTTGTTCGTGGCAGCCATTTTGCCCAGCATCCCAACCTGTGATTGTTTTGATAGAATGACACCCTATCCAGGCAATGATTTGAAGATGAGCAACTGCTGATGGCCTCCAACAGACCAACCTTGTTAGTTAAATAAGAACGCAGACGGAAATTGATGGAAAAGATTCAGCAGGTCTGGCAGCATCTGTGGTGATTAAAGTAGTTAACATTTTGGGCCTAGTGACCCTTCTTCAGAATTGATTTGTGGTGAGGAAAATATTGATATTTATGCTGAAGATGTTGTTCGGAGAGTGGGAAGAAGGAAACGATAGGTGGAAATGGAGCCAAGAGAGAGAGAGAAAACAACAGTTGGGGCAAAAAAGGAATAGGTAAATGTCAACCTGGGAGAATCAATAGCTCAATAGCTGCTAATGGAGACCATTAATGACTGACAAGGAATTGTGAGCAGTGGTAGCAGCCCATGTGAAAACAAGGCCTGGTGTGTAGGGGTTAAGGTGCTCAGGCCCTAAAATTATTGAACTTGACATTCAGTCCAGAAGGCTGAGGAAAATAAGATGCCGTTCTTCCAGCGAGGGTTGACCTGGAGCACTGTAATAAGCCTAAGGCAGAGATGTTGGCCAGGAAAGCGGTGGTGTTTTGAAGCAGCAGGTAACAGGAAGCTTGGGATCATTTCTGTAGACAGAAGTTAGTCAAATGATGTTGAAATCATTTCCAGGTTGGTGAGGCCAATGGCGCCATTTCTGGATCCTTTATGAGACTGCCCTGAACATTGTCCTACAAAGTTTTAATGACTATAACCAGCATCAGTCATTTAAAGTCATTTCAGTGCTCACTTTAATTATAGGACAGGTGCTAAGTTTGTCATCAATTTTTGTATATGGCACTTGCAATGCAATTGTGGGTATATCTCCTGGTTTAATTACATTGGCTGCACATTTTTAAAAACCCTTCAACCTTTCTTGAGTCTAGGGGAGGATGGGATTGGGTCACAATTCTCTCTCAATCTCACAATATTCCCCCCCAATATGAGATCAGGCCCGTTCCTAAGGTAGGCCTGGGCATCTCAAAATGGCTACTGAGGCATCTACATAGTTTGACTAAATGAAGCAAAACTGGAACAAGTGCTTGGAAAGTGAAATGGTGAACGGGTTGACACATGGAAGGATGTAACCCGTGGCAGGAAATCTCATTTTTATAGGTATTTAAGCAAATTGAAGGAAAGGTTTGATTTCAGGAACCTGGGAAAGGAATCTTTCTCCATCAAAGTGTACGTTCTCTCCTGGGCAACCTGGAAGCAGGAGTTGTTGGGATTGGCCAAGTTCCTGGTCACAATTTTCCTGGTCAGTGAGTCAAGGTTCACCTGAAATAGAGGAAATAATCCATGAGAAAGAAAGAAGCGATCAAGGTGGTGAGGGAAGAGTAATGCTAGGGTTACGTTAGGCAGCGGTGATCAGTTTTTATGAAGAGATCTCTGTGCTCCCTCAGTTTTTGATGAGTTAAGCAGTCAAGAGAATCTTATGAACCTAGGGAGGGAAATAATACAAAGGATAAGTTTAGAAATAATGGGCGCAGTTGCAGATGATACAAGAGTGAGTTTGAACTGGAATATGAAAACACTGGAGTGTGATTGCACTGGAATATGAATGCTGGAGTATTTTTGATTCATCCATGGGGTATGGATGTCACTAGGTAGGGCAGCAATGATTACCCATCCCCATTGCACTGAGAAGATAGTGGTGAGCTACCTTCTTCAACTGTTACAGGCTTGAGTTGTAGAGGCACACCACGTTGTTGGGAATGGAGTACCAGGATTTTAACCCAGCGACACTAAAGGAACAGTGATATATTTCCAAGTCAGAATGGGGTGTGGGGCTTGGTGTTGCCATGTATCTGCTGCCCTTGTCCTTCTTGATGGTAGTGGTCAAAGGTTTAGAAGGTGCTTGGACGAGTCTTTGCAAGTTGCTGTGGTGTATCTTGTTGATGGTACACATTGCTGCCTCTGTGCATTACTGGTGCCACTGAAGTGGGCTGCTTTGAGCTGGATGGTGTGAAGCTTTTCTTGAGTTTTGTTGGAGCTGCGCATATCCAGGCAAGTGGGAGGTATTCTATCACTGTCCTGACTTGTGCCTTGTAGATGGTGCATAGGCTCTGGGAAGTCAGGAGATGAGTTACTCACTAAAATTCCCAACCTCTGACCTGCTTTTGTAGCTACAGCACTTAAATAGCTAGCCCAGTTCCGTTTCTGATCAATGGTAATCCCCAAGATGTTGATAATGGACATTTTGCTGATAGTAACATTATTGCACATCAAGGGATGATGGTTAAACTCTCTTCTAACCGTCTTGCAGTCACACTAGGAAAGTGTTGGAAACTCTCTAAACTAAAGATAGAATTACAGACTACTTAATCTGATATCATTTCTGATTTTCTAAATGGATTGAGAGAGATGACACAGACCATGAAAAATATTTAGCGGGTACTTAAATACTTCTCTCCTTCTCCTTTCTCAGGGGTTGTACGTTTTACCTCCTTTGGTGCCTGGACTTTGACAAACTCATCATAAATCTTTTGGGCTTTGAACACGAGTTTGGAGCTGGTCTTTGTGTTCTTGTAGTCCTCGCAGGCGAGCCAGAAGTCAATGTTCTCCTCACTGAACTCAGAGCGAAGGAAGGCTCGGAATGCAGCCACGCCACCTGGAATGGCAACACCATTTCTCAGTCATTTACATTTAATCATCGCTCTGTTTAAAAACCCTTCCCTACCTCTTAACTAGTTTGCCTCCAATTTCCCATTCGTTTGTCTCCCTGTTCTTTCAATCTTTCTCCAGTTCTGGCCTCTTGCCCATCTCTTGTCTGACTGGGGGAGGAGAAAAGTGCAACACCAATGACACCTTGCTAAGGCTCCGCCACCAGCCCCTCCCAAGAGGAAAACAGCTCACCACCACCTTTCTCCAGGTCTAGTCGGCATAGGAAATAAATGCTAGCCCAGCCAATGATATCCACATCACACAAATGAACAACTGAATCCCAGAAATCGACTGGTGGTCATGTGCCTTGAGTTATTTAGATCCTAAATTCTGGAATGTCTTTCCTAATTTTTTCAATCTCTCCCTTCTCCCTTTGTTGTGTTCTTTTACTTAAAGCAACGATACCAATTGTACAACAAAGACTGATAAATTGAAAAGTCGGCTCATAATTAAGGGCGTCCACAAACATACATAAATATTCATATACAATATAAATACAGTGGCAACTGAGAACCTATAAAGCCAACTCTGATCTGTGAGTACTATTGTCCTCCACAGAGCCATCAGATTATATATTGAGTGGTGTACAATGATAGATAGCAATTTGAAATATGCCCTTTTAAATGTACATGTGTATCACCTCACAACAGCTTGAAGATCCTCTGCAAAATCTGTAGTTTTGACCAGACTTTTACATCTCTTTTTAAGATTCAGCCCCAAATTCTGTTCGGTAATTGTATTGTGTCACCGTTTAGGGAATTTAGCTACATCAAAGGCAATGCAAATGGTTCTCCTCCTCCCTTATCCCTGTGTCTAACAACAACACCATCCCCAGGCCACCTATGACCAGTTGCCATAATCATATCTCAAAGACTGTCCTTTCCCTTCCTGCCCTCTAGTAACAATAATGCACATCAATAATGTACATTTGATGTAAGGAGCATCGTGAATAGGCTGAATATAAAGATTTGGCGAACCAGTGAGTGAGACATTAGGAATAGGAGGGGGCCATTTAGTCCCTTGAATCTGCACTACCATTCAATTCAATCACAATCGATCTGCACGTCAACTACTTTTCCAATTTTGCTCTTTACCCCTTGATATCTGTACCCAAAAGAACTCTATTAATCTTACTCTTGAAAGCTCTAATGGTAAACACAGGATTTTAGGGCAGAGATTTTCACATTTCTGGGAAAAACTGCTCTCTATGTTTCTTGCCATTGGACTGGCTCAAATGTTAAGTCACACCCTGCTCTATTCTTGATTTCCCAGCTGAAGGTCATTTTTTTTCCAAATTATCCTTGCTGACAAATCCAGTGAATGTTTAAAACTACCCCATCATATGACCAACTCCATCATCAGCTCATGCAGCCTGTCATCGCAACTTATCCATCAAGGGCCTGGTATTTGTTTCTGGGGAGACTGCGATGCACCCAGCCCAAGACCATATGTAAGCCCAAGAGAGGAAGGTACAAATCTTCTGTTCAAACAAAGAACACATTCAACAAGGTATACATTGGAGTTGGAGGGGGTTGGATGGGAAATTGAAAAAACTATGTTTTTGGTGATAAATAGTGCAACTGGTAAAATCGATGCTTACGTTTGTCAGCCAGGAGCTTCTCGAACAACTGACCTCCTTGTGTGTCCTCAGCACTGGGTCTGGGGAATGAAAATGAAGATGAGACTGAGAATGTTAACTTTGCTATCTCACTTTCAGCCACTGAAGCAAGGGTTGTTGCAGTTTTCAGGCTTGTCGTGACTTGAAGCGGGGAGAGTGTTGTTGTCTAACACTGGGTTCCTTCACTCAGTTCTCAGCACAACTCCACCCAGGTGCCTTCTGTGGGAAAATCCCATGTTGAGCAGCAGGAGGCACTATGCTCTAACTGGATTAGGCTGTGGGCCCAATCATTCTCATTTAGCCAGTGTATACCTGAAGCAGACAAACCAGACAAAAAGAGGTTGATCCTGGTCAATTTGGTGAGAGACTCCCAGTGGAGCAGCAGTTCCTGACTCGAGACCTGGGTTAGGTAATGAGAAAGAAACCTACCTTGAATCCTGCTGCTGGTCTGACAGTAGCCCCTGATGGGTGACTGCTTGTGTCTGTGTATGTGTTTGAACGTGCACTTACATGTATGTATGCATGTTTGTGTCTGTGTATATGTGATGTTTATGTGTTTTTTTGTGCATGTACTTGTTTGTGTGAGAGCGTGTGTGTTTCTGTATGTACGTGTGTCTGAGTGTGTATAAGAGAAAGTAACATATACACTTACTGGGCCATTTTTGTAACTTTATCTTGTTTGACAGGAGAAAGACTGTCACAGTCATTGATGGCTTTCGATTTGTGCAGAAATTGTCCTAGATGAACCTTCATTTCTTTGGCCCTGGAACAGAGGTATGTCAAAATATATCTGTGGATTAGTTATGCAGCTTTTAAGGAGTATTACTGAATTGAGTCAGCTCTCAGTGGTTGGTCTCACGGCTCCCTGCACAAGGTGCTGGAAAGAGCTGTATCTTCAGATGAGTCATCTATTCAGAGGAGGAAGGGGAGAGGCAGAAACTTAGAAGGGATGGGGTTGGTATCTGGGATGCAGAGAATCATTGCATTTGTGGGAGGTAAGAAACATAGTGGGCCAGTAGAACAATGACCACACTTTACCATACATTCATGAGTACTGTCAGATCCTGCTGAGCTTCTTCTGTGGTCCATTGACATAACCAGCAAAGGACTGCTGATTTGTACACAATAGCATCCCATAAAAAGCATAGAAGATAAATGATCAGATAATTATTCCGATCAGATAATTATTCCCTGATTGTTGGAGTTGAGGATGAAATATTGGTCAGGGATACTCAGGAGCACTCCCCTGCTGTTCCTGAAAGCAGGGCTTTGGGATTGTTTACATCCTCCTGAGAGGGCAGACTGGACCCTATCTAAAATATGGCGCCTCAGTTTCACAAACACACACTTGTAGAGCGTTACAAACTCATCATCTCACAGAATCTCACAATCCTACACAAACCTCTCATGGTCTCACTCATGATCTCTCACTCAAATACAAGAACAAGCTTTCACTCCCTCACAGTCACACGCACTCCTTCACATCACAAAAAAGTAGGACCTTGGGTAGTGTTGTAGAACAGAGAGACCTAGGAGTTCAGATACATAATTCTTTGAAGTTTGCGTCATATGTAGACAGGGGTTAAGAAGGCGTTTAGCATATTTGCCTTCACTACTCAGACCTTTGAGTATAGGAGTTGAGACATCATGTTAAAGTTGTACACTACGTTGGTGAAGCCTCTTCTGGAGCACAGTTTTGCTCGCCTGTTATGGGAAGGATGTTGTCAAGTTGGAGAGGGTTCAGAAAAGATTCACTAGGATGTTGCCGGGAATGGAGGGTTTGCATTATATGGAGAGGCTGGATAGGCTGGTATGTTTTTCACTGGGGTGTAGGACGTTGATGGGTTTATAGAGGTTTACCTTATAAAGGTTTACAAAATCATGAGGGGTATAGATAAGGTGAATGGCAGGTGTTTTTTTTCCCTAGGGTAGGGGATTTCAAGAAAAGGGGGCATATTTTTAAGAGGAGAAATATTTTGAGAGGAGAAAGACTTTAAAAAAGACACGAGGGGCAACGTTTTTACACAGTGTGGTTCTCGTATAGAATGAACTGCCATAGAAAGTGGTGGATGTGGGTACAGTCACAACATTTAAAAAACATTGGAGCTGCACATGAATAAGAAATGTTTCAGTGATTTAGGCTAAGTGCAGGCAGGTGGTACTAATTTAGATTGGGATTAAGGTCAGCATAGACTGGTTGGACCGAAGAGTCTGTTTCCATGCTGTCTGACCCAAACAGTGCAGCACTCACTCAGTATCGGACTAGAAGGTCAGCCTAGCTAGGCTACTCATGTTTTGGTGAAGTGGGAGCTGAATCCACAACCTTTTGTGGTGAAGCTCAGCATTCTACCCCTGAGCTAACAAACGCTGTCTTTGCCAACTGGTCAGCTGGTACCAAAGACCGAATCACTCCTGCCATTCAAGCCAACTGTCCACACCCATTGACTGCGCCAACTATCCACACCAATTACACCAACCATTCATGCCCACGAACCAGTTACATCAAATGTTCCTCCCCATGAACCAATGCAAAAACTATCCTTACAAATTGACAATTGTAGCTAAAGAGGTAAAAGCAAAAGACAACATACCTCTCAATGGAAATACTAGGCAATGCAGCCAAACCCCTACACATGTTGATGGCTAATGTTTTTCTGCTTCCAGAAGGAAAAGTGGAAACAATTATCTAGTTGAGATTGTGTTCCGTGTGAGTGCCAACGGTAACAGTGCAATGGTGGAGGGGACGAAGCAGAGATTTATACATTTACATCAACAGATAATGGGGAGGAGTCATCAGGCCTCATCAATCTTCAGTTCATCCCTCAGAAACAGCCCTCTGACATTTAAAAACAAAGCTTCTGTTTGCTGAGAGTATGGGGACATTCAGAGCCAGTGCTGAGGGTAAAAGATGTCCTGACCTGCCGCCTGTGCTTTGTTATTCAGTGAGCTGTCTTCAACTTGTTTACTAGCTTGTTCTCTAATGAGCAGCATCTGCTCAGTTTGTTACCAGTTTTCCTGTCATAGTTTCCATTTACAGATCGAATTGATGATAAACCAGGAGAATGATGCATCCCGAATTCTCTCAAAGAAACAGTTAACCTTTGAGGGGGCAGATGGTTGTGAGCACACTGCCTCGATTGTTTGGCCTCGAGCAGAGTTTACCTGTCACTTTGCCTCCACAGGGTATCAGGGCCAGTCATCGAGCATGCATTTTGCCCGGAGACAAGACCAGTGTATATCTTCTGATTGGCCAGATCCTCGCAACCCCTTCGTTCACCAGGATGTTACATGGATGGAGCAATTCAGCTATGAAGAGAGGCTGGATAAGCTCGGGTTGCTTTCTTTGGGGCAGTGAAGGTTGATGTGGGGGATGTGTTAGAGGTGTGAGAGCCATGGATAGGGTGAATACAAAGCAACTGTTCCCATTAGCTGAAAGGTCAGTAACAAGGGGGCATAATTTTAAAGTGAAAAGCAGGAGGTTTAGAGGGGATTTGAGGAAGAGGGTAATGGGAGTCTGGAAAGCGTGGTCTGGGAGCATAGTTGAGATGGGAAACCTCACAGCCTTTAAAAAGTACTTGGATGACTACTTAAAATTTCATAACATTCAAGGCTATAGGCCAAGTGTGGGAAAGTATGGTTTTAGTGTATTTTTGGAATTACAGTCTCAATTGGCCAAAGGACATCTTCTGTACTGTGTGATTCGGAGTGCTCCCCAATCAGAGGGCATTAGGTCTCAATAATTGGCAGACCCACCAGGAGAGGGTGGGCACAACTGAGGCAGGTTGGTGACCCTGAGGGGACCTCATGAGAGGGTCTTATGAGGGGGTCAGCACTGTAAAAACGCAAGCTGGTGTGTGCAGCAGGATCCTCAAATCTTGGGATTGCTCCTCCTGTTGGATTGTGGCACTGGTGGAGTTCTCATTTGATGCCTGTTGTCCCCATGTTTGGGGCATTGAGCCCTCTGACTCCAATTGTCCAATTCCATTTGCTGATCCACAGACTATCATGGAGAGACATCTCCATCAAGGGGGGCAGATCCTGCAGGTGACTGAGTGGAGGCAACTCTGCTGTATGCCAGAAGTGAAGGAGGGGGTGATATTACCGCTATCCCATGATAGAAATGTAGAGAGCATCCCTTTTGATCCCTTTAGTCATCAGATCTATATCTAACTCCTTCTTGAAAACATTCAATGTTTAGGCCTCGAATGCTTTCTGTGGCAGGGTTCCATGGGATCACCAGTCTCTGGGTGAAGATGTTTCTCATCATCTCAGTCCTAAATGGCCTACCTTGTACCCTTAGACTGTGATCCCTGAATCCATGGTCTTTGGGAACATCATTTCAAGCCTACCGACTCCCACAGCTACCTAGAATACTCCTCCTCCCACCCACCCTCCTGCAAAAATGCTATCCCCTATTCCCAATTCCTTCGCCTCCGCCGCATCTGCTCCCAGGATGAGGCATTCCACTCCCGTACATCTCAGTTGTCCTCGTTTTTCAAGGACCGTAACTTCCCCTCCTCGGTGGTCGAGAACGCCCTCAACCGTGTCTCCCACATCTCCCTCACCTCATCCCTCACACCCCGTCCACGCAATAAAAACCAAAAAAGAATCCCCCTCGTCCTCACGTACCACCCCACCAACCTCCGGATCCAACGCATCATCCTCCGACACTTCCGCCATCTGCAATCCGACCCCACCACCAAAGACATCTTTCCCTCCCCACCCTTATCTGCTTTCCGGAGGGACAACTCTCTCCGTGACTCCCTTGTCCGCTCCACACTCCCCTCCAGCTCCACCACACCCGGCACTTTTCCCTGCAACCGCAGGAAGTGCTACACCTGCCCCCATACCTCCTCCCTCACCCCCATCCCAGGCCCCAAGAAGACTTTCCACATCAAGCAGATGTTCACCTGCACATCTGCCAATGTGGTATACTGCATCCGCTGTACCCGGTGTGGCTTCCTCTACATCGGGGAAACCAAGCGGAG